GGGCAGGCCGGGGGGTGGCCGATACCGGGGGAAGACACCAGGGTGGGCACTGCTCGGCTGGAAACCCCGTGGGGGAAAATGCTGGGGGTGGGAGGCAGGAGGTGGTTTCCCCCCCATCACGGGGCTGAAACCCTGCAGGCCTGGGTTGATATGGTACCGCCCGGCCGAATTCGGGTATTCCAGACCAGGCATGTACAGAGGGTGGAACTGGTTGGGGGCAGCCCCCATGGAGCCAGCATCCATGCTGGGGAGGCCAGTGCCCTGCCCCATGCAAGGCACAGTCTCTTCGGGCAAAGCCTTCTCCCCGTCACAGAGGGGCTTCTCCAGCTGCCTGGGGCAGGGGACCCTCTCTCTCAGAGGCGGGCACCAGGTCCCTCACGCAGCCCGGGCCACCGGCGTAGCTGCTCTCCGCTGGCCACGTGCCTTTGGCCTGCCCTGCCTTCATGTCACACTTCACAGCGGAGCCGTCCCCCTCCCCATCCGGGGGCAAGGTGCGCCTGGTGCACTCCATGGGCAGCGGGGGCTTGGGATGAGGTAGGAGTTTGGAGTAGGCTCCGTCGGGAATGCCAATGCACTGAGCCTTCTCGTCCATGTTTGCTGGTGGCTCCACTGGAAAGGGAGGGGGGAAAAAAAATGTAGCGTGTTGGTTGAATTTCAGAAATCAGCCCTCCCCACCCAACACATACACACACCTACTCATGCTCATCCAAAGCACACATGCCAAATAGCAGTTCCTACCAGCTTAACCAGGTCTACCAAAGTAGCCTCTCAACATCCTCTTTTGTTGCTGACCCAAAGTTGCTGGGCAGGTCTATTCAACCAATCCCTATCATCTGGATGGAGAAAGCACCCTGCTTTTGTGCAAATGGAAGAGAAAGGAGTGACTTTCTAAAGTCACGAAGGTCTTTCCACCAGAAGTACTCCAAAGCCTACAACGTCCAATCCTCTACTCAAACCTCTCTATGGGACTGTCAGAGCATGGCACAATGACAACTGCTCTTCTGTGGGGCTGCAGCCTCCCTTCACACCCATCACACCACCTTTCTTTCAGAGATCTTTAGCAATTCTGAAATGTATTTTTGTAAAGTTTGATGATCTTTTGTAGCTTTATTTGAAAAGAGCTCTTTTAAAATGCCTTATGAGGTTGCACCTCTCTTGGAAAGATGGCACAGGTGGACTGCACCCTTAAGATGCAGGCTCACTGTAGTTTGCAAGCCACTGATAACCAGAGTAACATCACACACATGGTTTTGGTCTGAGATGCAGCTGGTGCAGAGGCTGCCTAATGGAGAGGCAGAGTTGGGAAACACAGCAGGATCCACATGAGCGTAGGCTAAGAAGCTGGGGTAACAGCAGCTGGATTTCATGCTCTGTTGTCTCTTCTAGTCCACAAACCCCACTTGCCCACAGCTTGGGCAGAACTGCTACCATACACTGAGACAGTGCAGAGCTGATCATAGCCATATTTTAACCTCCTGTGATTTGGAGATGCGACTACTCTGCCCTGCAATCCCTCAGTGTTCTCCACCAGTCTCCTTTCTATAGCCAGCACAGTTAAATGATAATGACTTTTAAGCAATGCCACACAAGGAAAGGGCTTCCTCTTAGTGCAAGGCACACGAGGGATCGCTAAAAGATGCAAGGGTTTTGATCTCTAGTTTACCAGGTAGAACTAATGAAAAAAAAAACTATTTTTTGATCTCTGGATGACTTTGATCTCTACTTTAGTTTTACTTTATTTTTAAGGTCTGGGGGTTTTCGATCTCTAGTTCACGCGCTAGAATGACTGAAATTCAACTAGAAATAAAGTTGTGATGGCACACACGACATGCTGCCATCCCAGCTGAACTGACACAGCTGCTCAGTGGCTTTCTGGCAGTCCTGTTGTGTGAAGATTTTGAGACGTTGAGCTCATGAGGCACACGTGCATTTCAAAGAAGCCATACTGGCATATACTCACAGGAGTGTATTTAAACCATTTATTCACATAATATCTTCTTTCCTTACCTAACTCTCCACAGATCCAATTTTTATATTAACTCCAAGTGATCTCTAGAAGCATCACAGACAATGCTTTGCATTTGCACCCAGTGGCAAACCGATAGCTTGCAGATATAGCTGGGACAGAGGGGACCCCTGGCAGGCTACAGTGAAACAAAACAATCTTAGAAAAAAACTAAGCGATGGCTGGAGCAGAAAATATATTCCAAGCTGGATTTAAAAAATAATGCGAAAAAACCCGTGTGCTCCACAACTATTTAATCAAGAATTTAACTATTTGCTAGAAGAACAACCTGCTTTTCTTGCTGAGTCTCAGTCACTGTTTAAAATTGACTCCAGTAAGCCTGAAAGTCAAGGCACATTTTTCACTCCTCTAGTGGCACAAATCCAAAAAAGCCACATTTGCGGACACAAGTCTTGTGCATCTGCAAGACATTTAAGTTTGGGACCCTACGAGTTTGGAGCCCAAAAGCAACAAAGCTGGCCTGGGGGTGCTCCCTTGCCCTCTTCGCAAGCACACACTGGTGGGAAATGGCACGGGAAAAGGCAGCACAGTGCAGCAGGCGAGACGGATGCCTGGCAGCAAGCAAAGGGGAGGCAGGCAGGGGGATGCAAGTAACAGATGCGCTTAGGGAAGGTCCAATGCTACAGGCAGAGGCTGCCACATTGGCAGGGGGGTGCTCAAAGTGTTACCTTGGTTGCTCTCTGTCTCCATGGTCTGACTGGTCAGATCCTGCGAGCTTCCATTCCCCATGATGGGTTTTGGAGGCTGCACGCTGGCGGCGGAGGCAGCATGAGCCAGCTGGGGAAAGGGTCCAGGAAGGTGTGGTAGGGGCGGCTGGCGAGGGTGGTAAGGCACACCCGGCGGGCACACCCGGGAGGACAGCTGCTGCATGGCGATCATCTCCGGGCTGTCCATCATGGAGTCCCCGCCCTGGCACCCTCTTTGAACCTGAGGTGGTACCCCAAACAGAGCAGCCTGTGGCTGCAGCATCCTCTGGCTGGGGGGTTTTCCCGGCGGG